TATATAAGTCACTTAGATAACTTAAAAATGTTATTGTTTGGCTTTTTTCAGTATTTTATTTGTTCCTGAGTAAATCGGTTTGGCTGAGATTAAAGTTGTAGTTTTTACACAGCTGAATAAACATCAAGCACACAACTGATTATCAGAAGTGTGAGATGCTCGAGAATATACTCCGGTGTCCCGTTATATTTTAGATAACAATGAGTTTATTAAACTTCACCGAAACAATCTGCAAATTTCATTTAAATTTAATAAACTATCATCTTGTCTTTATTTTCAGTTAGCACATACCTTAAACACTTAAAGCTGTAAGCTAATGATAGTTATATAAGAGCAGATGCATGCTGGTACAATAAGCTGTAAGTTTTATGTCCAGTGGATGCATGATCTGATTAGTCGACTAATCGCAAAATTAATCGGTGACTAGTCGATTATCAAAATAATAGTTTGTGGCAGCCCTAGTACCTACTCAGATGTATTAGAAAAAGATAACACAAGTAAACACAATACGTAGTTTCTAAATTAAGGTGTTTATTATTACAGGAAAAAAAATCCAAACGTACAAACCTGTGTGAAAAAGTGCTGGGTTGGGCCGCCCTTAACAGCAAGAACTGCAAGCGTTTGTGATAACTGGCAATGAGTCATTTACAGCGCTGTGGAGAAATTTTGACCCACTCATCTTTGCAGAATTGTTGTAATTTGGCCACCCTGGAAGGTTTTTGTCCATGAAACACCTGCTTAAGTTCATGCCACAGCATCTCAATCAGATTCAGATCAAGACTTTGAATAGTCCTCTCTCAGTCTTCATTTTGTTTGTCTTAAGCCATTCAGCAGTGGACTGGCTGGTGTGTTTTGGATGCTGCAGATCCTGGTGCAGAACCCAAGTGCGTTTTTGCTTGAGGTCATGAACCTCCTGAGGTCCTGAGGCAGCAAAACAGCCCCAGACCATCACACTACCATCACCATATTTTACTGTTGGTATGATGTTCCTTTTCTGAAATGCTGTTACTTTTACGCCAGATGTAACGGGACACACACCTTCCAAAAAGTTTAACTTTTGTCTTGCGAGAGTATTTTCCCAAAAGTCTTAGAGATCATAAAGATGTTTTCTGGTGAGACTGAGGCAACGCTATATGTTCATTTTGCTCAGCAGTGGTTTTACTATTAGAACTGTGGCATGCAGGCCATTTTTTTCCATCTCTTTCTTATGGTGGAGTCATGACACTGACCATTCCTTTGTTTCTCATTTGCTGAATTTCCTTCAATCGCAGCATCAAGTCTGACTTTTGAGGATCTTTTGGTCTACTCCACTTTGTCAGGCAGGTCCTATTTCACCTTCATTTAGAAACTGCATTTTGTGTTTCCTTATGTTGTCTTTGTCAAATATTTACATTTCTTTGATGATCTGAAACATGTAATAATAAATAAATAATAAATAATAATAATAAAATAGTCCAGAATCAAAAAGAAAAGTAAACATAATTTAAAAAATGGCATAAAATTTGGACAAAAGGTATAAACTCTATGGCAAGTAAGATAAATAAGTCATATGAAAATAAATTAGTCTATAATACAAATAAATATGGAAGTCACCGAGAGCACTTAGAGAGTCCAACTCTCTTCAGCGGTAAAGGGACATAACAAAACTTTAATGTTTTATTATGTTCAACCTAAGACCTTGAAGCATTACGTACTAAAATGGTGTTTTTTATTATCTTTATCTATATGACTGGAGCAGAACAGGCTGAAATCTCTGGTTTGGTCTGTAAAAACTCAAGATTTAAGATACTGTCATGGTCCTGGGTCTTGGTCTTTGACTCAGTAGTTTGAGTTTGTTCTTGTCTTGTGATTCTTTGTTTTGAAATTAAGGGATTTTCATTAGTTTTCTGTATTAGTTAATCTTGAGCTCTGTTTTTCCCAGCGCCGCTGAGTTTTCATTATTTCTATTTCTAATTTAGATTTCTTGATGTTATTATGTGAGTGCCCTCATGTTGTATTATCCTTTCTGTCTCCAGTCATATCCCCATATCTGTCATGTCTCTCTGTGTTCTGTCTCTGTCTATGTTCCCTGTCTGGTCTAATTAACACGTCTGTAGTCCTGTCCCTGTGTTCATCCCTCTGTTCTGCCCAGTCTGTCACGTCTCCATGTCTCAGTGTCAAGTTCATGTCTTAAACTGAGTCTCAGTGTGTGTTACTTCTTGTTTTCTTTTGATAGTCTCTTGTCTCATGTGTGTGATGTTCAGTTTTTCTAATTATAATTCTGTTCAGCTGTGTTCCCCAGGTGTGTCCATTATCCTTAAATAACCTTCTGTGTATATACACTCTGGATCTCGCTCTGTTCGTTGTCGTGTACTCCCTAATTGTAGGTGAAGTTGAATGTGTGATTTTGTCAGACTTTATGGCATTATTGTGATGTTATAGGGAGTCACATTGAAAAAATAAAAAGTGTGTAATACAGCTCTCGCCATGCCCTTTCATATGATATATTACTCAATATGGTTTTTCAAGGACAACTTTGACTTTGGGCATTAACAATGAAGATGAAAGTCAAATGATTAACCAACATGGGTACTCGTGTCCCCCAAAGTGTATTGTTGTGAAGTTTGAAAACAATCTACAAAAATGTGTGGTTTTTACTGACTTTGGCATTTGGTGTGACCTTGACCCTATTTACGGGGAGAATAAAGAAAGAGTGGAAATAAAAACTGTCGTTTTTTTATTTAAAGCGGAGTTTGCTAACTTCCCTTCCTCTTCACAGCTGTTAGGCTCAAACATATAATGTCCACTTTCCTATTGCAATGAGGAACAGTTACCTAGGAACAGCTAGGATCATCTGACCTAAGAAGTGATTGTTTTTTTTTAACTTTTGGAACACCTCGGGCTAGTTTTTAGCTGTAATCCTATCACTGGAGGTCAGCTTTGCACATGAAGATACAAGTAGTAGGAGTAATGAAGGTAGTGAAGGTGAATGAGTTTAAACAACTGGACAAGCAACGGACCGTGGACAGGAGAAGTGAAGAAGAGAGTGCAGGCAGGGTAGCGTGAGCGGAGACAAGTGTCAGGGGCGATTTGTGAGAGAAAGATAGCAGCAAGAGTGAAAGGTAATGTTCACATGCTATGATATATTGTTCGGAGGCAGTGGCACTAACAAAAACACAGCAGGCATATCTGGAGGGGGCAAAGGTGAAGATGCTTAAGTTTTCATTGGGAGTGACCAGGAGACGGGATTACAAATGAGTACATCAGAAAGACAGCTCAGGTTGAGCAGGTTTGGAGACAAAGGCACAGCTGAGATGGTTTGGACTTGTTAGAAGAGGGATAGTGGCTATACTGGACTAAGGATACTGAATATGGAGCTATCAGTCAGGAGCAAAAAAAAGAGCACATGTGTGTTAACTAAGAGCACTATCAGACAAGAACTATGTCCTTGATAACACAGCATTCAAGGTCGTTTATAAGGGTAAGATGTGGTGAGTTCAATAACCCACTTATACCCATTTCTAAAACTTATCTTCTTCTATGTACATTATACAGTTTAAAGCATGTATTGTTTGCTCTTTTTAATTGTGATTACATTTGTCTATGAGTGCACCATGTACATATGGTTAAAAGTAGGTTGCTGTGCACCCTATAATGGTGTCCCAGTATATAGATTTAATAATTAAATCTATGGTGGACAAAGTTTATCTGTGAAACTGTGACCGCATGAATGGACACCACTTCATCATAGTTTATTATTTTTATAAAAATTTAAAGTGAGGTCAAAGTAGGTTGCCCTTACAGCCCCTATGCTTCCCAACACTGCACCTACATAATAACAGCATTCATTGTAAACAACAGCAAAGCTATTTTCGTGCCACACGCTCTAGAGCAAAACTGTTCATGTGAATCTCTTAGTGATAATTATGTGTGGAAATGTAGATTATGGAGAAGTCTGTGCATAAATAAACAGACTTGTACTTATATTTCATGCTTCTAATCTTACTGAGCACTCAAAGTGCGTTTCCAACTACATCCCATTAACCTATTCTCACATACATTCACACAGCAACTCTCACCCGCACTCAACAATGGACACATTATTAAAAGGAAAACCTTTTATGGACTGAATTTCAAAAATGCTTAAGGTCAAGTAGAAAAAAGGCTGAGCTGTCAACGTGTTAGCTGTATTCACCAAACGATGCCCAAACTACAAACTAAATCGAAATTGTGAGCCTACAATTATGCCTGGAATAATATATAAGCGTACCAAAGCCATTACAAAGGAAGGTTTTCCTGGACAAAAGTATCATTTATCTCTATCCATTTTTTCTTATCAGCCGGAGAAAAATAATGATCCTTTCTTTCATTTGTTGCCACTTCTTTTAAGCCACCTGTCTCATTGTACTCCCTGCTAGCATGGTACTCTCATGGTACACTGCCACAAAAGCTCTCTCTCTCTCTCTCTCTCTCTCTCTCTCTCTCTCTCTTTTATACACAGTTTATTCCAAACCTCTTGAGTGGGCTCTTTTTTACCTCCAAATTCCCTCCTTGCTTTATTTGATAGGTGCATTTCAGTGGATAATATGCATCTGACAATAATAATATGATAATACAGATTTTCCAAAGGTACCACTCTTGTCCTAAATCACTTTGCCACCTTCCTTGTCATGATCTGGGGGAATGGCTGGAAAATTCCATGAGGCTTCTGAGTTTCCTTGGTCTCCACCCCTGGATGGAGCCATCATCTCTCCTGTAGTCCCGCACACCTGGAGCTGGTCCTCAGGTTGAGGATTTAAGCTCCACACAGACTCTCCTTCACCGCCACTTCGTCAACTACCTCAAGTTGGTAATCTGCTCCAAGTTCCATGCTCTTGTCTCTTGTTTTTTGTTTACCTTGTTTTCCTGTGCCACAGTTCACCTGGACCTTCCATGCCAGTTTCCTTCAGCTCCAGTTCTTCTTGGAAAACCTCTCCATTCCGGAACGTTCTCTGAACTTCACATGCCTGCCCTCCAGCCATCTCTCACCATCTCAAATGCAGTGGAACTCAGGTCAGCCTTTACCATTACTCACCTGGATTCTCGCCGCCTTTTCCTTAAAGCCAAACTCCACCCTGGCTACAAGTAAGCTATACCAGTAATACTCACCTTCTCCAAGCATCCTTCACTCCACCATCATCCTAACACACTTCCCCTTTTTTCTCAGACGTGCCCGCTTTGCTTCAGTTGATCCTGTAAATTCCCAGTTTCCCCTTATTGACCCACGGCCACACTACTACGCCACCCACGCCATGCTCCTGTCTAATCCACGTCTCACTTTGCCACGTACTAGTCTCTGCTTTTTCAATAAACACTGTAAACAATTCTTGCCATCTCTGCTGTGGTTCTCTGCATTTGAGTCCAGTTTTGCTATCGGCCTACAGCCGTGTTGTGACATTTCTGGATCAACTGACATGCTTCTACCTCTCTGCTACCAATATACATACAGTGGGAGGTCTTCCATGTGCCAGATCCTTCTATGCCTTGTGTCCTAGCCATCTGTTATCATTCTTACTTAACAATTATCTTCATAAAAATAACTTAATAACTCCCATTGTTATGGAGACAGTACTTGCATTGATGCAATTTGTCTCCAAGACAAACAAACTAGTAGGACATTGGTAGTAAAAACTGGTAGGACCTGGTTTTAACCCCCAGATATTTGCCTTCAAGGACTGACTTTAGGGCCATCATGGATGATGGGGATCTAGGGTGTAAGCAGCAATAATGCTGTCAATAATGGTTATAGTACACAGGACCTCATTTTGGCTCCTGAATAGACTTTGGAACTGTGTCACTTCTTCATGGTTTAATAAGTGTTTTATGCTGAATCACTTGAGCATGATGATATTGAGAACCTGTGTAAGACAGATGCTTCTAGCTGCACAAAGAGATTTTGTTATGCAACAAAAATACCTTTTCTTTTACTAACGGCATCAGTTCATTATTCTGAGGCAGATGGTGTATCAAAATCATAATCCTAAAATAAAAATACTTTACTATACGTGCTGCCACAAATATAAAATTTGTCAAAGGCAAGAAAGACAATATAATATCAAATGCATGTCCTGTATCTGTAAATAGCCAAGCCTATCCCCACAGGCTCAAGATGAGCTACAAAAGCTGTCTGACAGAATACAAAAAACAAATTCCTGTAAGAAAACAGTCAAACCGAATAGCAGCACATCGTTTCCCATTAAAATTATACTGATATTACAGTAAACAGTGTGTACTGGGCAATATTTACTCTTTTCTATAAAATACCATAATATACTGTGGACAGCGTTGCATTCTGGGAATGATATTAGCATCAACAGCAGAGAGGCCCCTCAAATACAAAACCTTAGGCCTCAGTTCCACAGGCCTAGAGACTGGTTGGTGACTCCCTGGCAACCTGCGGTCACTAGGGAAAAATGCTTGTTCCCTAATTGATTGACAAATGGCTTCTCAAGCTTGCTGACAGTCACTGGGTAAAATCAATTCCAAAGAGACAGATAGAGATTGTAAAGAGCCCATCTTGAAAGACAACATATTTTGACTGACTTAGAATAGAATAACTTACAAAATGCACTTAACTGCTAGTTTTGGGTCATAATGAATGGAGCATCAAGCTTATCAAGAAAGTGTTCACTGTGGTTACAACATAAGGGAGTCAATTACCATTTTCCCACAGGTTTTGGGCACTTCCACTTTTTGTCTTTGCTTTTCAGACGTTAGGTCCACCTGTTATAGTTGTTATGGTCCACAAACATATTGCAGGTATGTGAGGAGAAGGAACTCAAAAGTCTTCTCCTAACACTGAGAATACAGGCTTGTGGTTCCTACACTTTCCAGAACAAGAATGGGAGGCAGAGCTATCAGAACCTATTCTGTTGAACCAGCTCCTGGTTGGGAATCAAGACAAAGACATGCTCTCTACTTTAAAGATTAGGCTTAAAACGTTTGGTAAAGGTTATAGTTGTAAGATATAACTATAACCTTTAGGCTTGGCTGGACCAGGATGTTTCAGGTAATCTTGAAACATCGTCAGGTATGCTGCTTCACACACACACACACGCATACACGCATATATATAGATAGAAAGATAGATTTTTATGTTTTTTATTTTTGCTAACTTTTCAGATGTTAGTTATACTAGCCTACATTTTTGCCACCTCTTAGCAAACTGGCATATGGTACACTGCATAGCAGGAGAGCTTTTTACTTCATATAGCTGGAAGAAGACTCTTTTTGTTATTCAAAAAGTCTTTTTCTATTTAATCTCAGACTGTAAATTTCAGGCAATTCACTGGAATCAGTTGAAATTCATCTGAATGAATTAGTTAAATAGCATGTGCTACGTTTTCAAAATAAATACTAGCTAACTGATTTATCTTTTATTATTGTGTTAATGTGTGCAAATTAAAGAATTAGAAATAAATTACTAAACATACAGACAACAGAATTCATTATCCAGGTGTAAAAGATCTGGGAAAAACCAGATCTTCTACTAACACAAAACAAACAACTGACAAAACAGTTTAAGTACAATATCAGTAAAAGTTACTTTGGAGAGTGAAGGCAAATTAGTGATTAATTATGTTACTATTAAAAAATTACTTTAAAAACCTGACTAATAAACAAAAGAAATGGGGAGAGTTATATGGACAGTGAACAACAACAAAACAAAAAAATTCTCAGATCTGGACATAATGTTTTTGACACACTTGCTGCCCTAACTGTTCTCATTGTGACTGGATTGAAACGAAAAATCAAGGCTTACTTTGTAGCATTACTGTAGTTTTGTTTTTACAGTGCCAGATTAAATCGGTTCAGCCTGGTTGGAGGGAAAAGTTTAAAAACTTTCAGCATTAACGCCATTTTGAGCTATCTGATCACAACATTTTGGTGACCTTTAATTTTTGATGTGTGAATTAAGACAAAAACAAAAAAAATGGCCCAAACGGGGCCACAATGAGAATATATTTTATTTTATATGGCATCACCTGGGCATCTAGCCTGGGGAAGTATACAGTTTTGGGGGGGTTTTCACTTACTCGGACATAAAGGACGGCCTCCAGGACTACTATCTGTCAACAGCAATATTGTCAAAATAAGAAGTATTCTGTCACAGAATGATGCTAAAAATACTTTGTGTTTTTAGGCTAAATTATTTCATTTTTATAACTAGGATGCGCTATACGTCTCTGAACAGAGACCATCCAAAATGCTGCAGTGAGAGTACTAACAGAACATGTCACAGTCTACATTAACTTCCTGTAAAAATAAGAATTCAAAATCCTTCTCCTCACATACTAAGCTCTTAATGACCAAGCTCCATCATACATTAAAGAGCTCATAGTACCACATTATCACAATAGAGCACTTTGCTCTCAGAGTGCAGCCTTGCTTGTTGTTTCTAGCTTTGCAAAAGTAGAAAAGGAGATAGGGCCTTCAGATTTCCTCCTTCCTTTCCTTTCCTTTCCTTCCTGTTTGTTTCCCAAAGCCTCCGTTTGGTTTGGGAGACAGACAACCTCGGTTTGTAAATTTTTGATAAAAAACAGGGATACCTCCAGTAACCCCTCAGTTAGACCTAAAGCTCTCCCAAGATGCACTACACATCTCTCCCCTACCTCATGCATGTGTACACTGTAGTTTGTGCTTCATCCTCTCTGTAGCTGCCCTCTCTCGAGTTGCCACCTGCTTCCTCACAGAGCATCATTGGATTTCTCTGTTTAATGCTGTTGTCTTGACCATACTATGTTAAATTTTCTGTGATGTGAATTGGTACTAAATAAATAACAGATTAATTATTGAAAATGCAAAAAATGCAATTCTGTTGTTTATTCTTAAGATAATACAAGAGCAATCCCATTTTGAAAAACTAGAAGACATTCGAGTGATTAAAAACAGATCCAGTGTATTTGTGATGTTTGCTATATCATTTTTCTGCAAATGACTAACTACTATAAATCACTGACTCATCAAGAGTCCAAGCTACCAAAATAACTGGCAAACATGGCATCCACATGATCCAAAATCTCCGTTTTCAAAAATACCCGTGTACCTGTGGACGTAGCCTAAATTGCTGGAGATTTCCAATCCACACGTGTTGGACCAGTTGCATTTTTTTCTCCTTGAAATAATCTCTAACATTGTTCAGAGCTGCAATGCAGAGTTAAAATGGCTTTACAAAACCAATAATATTGTAAAAAAACAAAACAAAAAACCCACCATTTTTCAGTAATATCTACAAAACAGCCCATGTGCAGCTTCGTATAAAGTAAAAAAAAAAAGAACAAAAGAAGACACAATTCATACAAATAAGGTCACACCAGATGAAGAGAATCCCCCTTTTCTTTGCACTTAGTAACAGAGAAAGAGACCCCCACTAATGTGAAAACATGAATAATTGACTTGGTGAAAGCATTCCCAAAACACATACACACACACACACACACACCCACACACACACACACAGCGAGTGACAGAGAGAGAGAGAGAGAGAGAGAGAGAGAGCATTGGGAACAACCCAGGGAACACCACTCCCAAAACCTATGTGCCTGTTCTCCCACACACACTGTGCACAACTACGTGGGGGGAGAGAATGCAAAGATAAAGATGGCTACCATTATTACTACACCAGGACAGAAATTACAAGCATAAGCGCTAGACAGACAGACAGACAGACAGATAGCTAGCTACATAGATAGACAGATTCCCCCTCCTTCTCTCTATCCTCCTTCTTTCCTGCTAATTCTCACCTTTCTGCTCCTGCATCCTGTTACGGTTATTTTCTACTGTGGCTGTAATTTATGACCATACATTCTAGGCCCTCATAGAGCCCATGCACTGTACGCAGCCTATGTGTAAATAAAAAAGGGTCAGTTCTGCATTGAAATTCTTCTATATGTATGACTCTGTATGCATCCTCACAGTATGTGTGTGCGTGTTTGTCTGCGCTGTCTTTGGCATGTGTGTTCTTACCTGAGGCCTGGAGGAAGGGGGCTGCGTATGTGTGCGTCGTGGCCTTGGTCGGGAGGCAGTGTAGTGCCTTAGAGTCTGTCCCTGGGTGGGTAGAGGCTCCATGGGAGAAACAGTGTATCCAGATCTGGGGAAGGGGCCCGGGCTGAGGCAGCAGCCAGGGAAGGGAGCCTCTCGCCTGTGTAAGCCTCCGCAGCCAGCTGCCTCCTCCGTTGGAGCTTGAGCGGAGGAGTAAAAGAGGGGGAGACTGGGAAGAGGAATGAACGATGCTCCTCTCGCTCCTGATA